GAATTGCGAGGAAATCTCATGCGGCAGCCCCCTCCCGATGGGGCCCGCTGATCATGTTCGAATCCGAGGCGGGTCATAGGATTCTACTAACTGTCGTCACTTGGAGGTCTGAGGACGGATGTTAGGACCGATTTTGAGGATCGAAGGGGAAATCGCTCCTGCGGCCTGACAGCCGGGGAATTACCAAGCGGGAGTTTCGTCTGTGAGCGAAGTGCGGGTAGCCCCGTCTGAACTGGTCGCGGGCAAAATTGTTGTTGTCATGGGCCTGCGTGCCCGAAAGGGCGATTGAGAATTGAGAAGTGCGGGTAGCATCGTCTGAGCTTGTCGTCGGCAAACTTGTTGTAGTCATGGGCCTGCGCGCCCGAAAGGGCGACTGAGGAGCTGACGACGACGACGACGAGGCAGCGGCCGGGCGCAGGGGTAGCCCCTTGCGTCCGGGCCGGGGGTGGTAACCCATCCTCGGCCGAATCGGGAGCAGGGGTGACCCTTTGTCTCCGGGCCGCCGGTGGTGACCCATCGGCGGCCGAATCGGGCGCAGGGGGGGGCCCTTGCGTCCGGGCCGGGGGTTGTAACCCATCCTCGGCCGAATCGGGGGCAGGGGTAACCCCTTGTCTCCGGACTGGCAGTGGTAACCCATCGTCAGCCGAATCGGGCGCAAGGGGGAACCCTTGCGTCCGGGCCGGGGGTGGTAACCCATCTTCTTCCTAATCTTGGGCAGGGGTAACCCCTTGTCTCCGGGCTGGCGGTGGTAACCCATCGTCAGCCGAATCGGGTCCAGAAGTACATCAACGCGAAGATGAGGCCGGGGAGCTTGCAGAAGAAGCTGAAGTGGTTGTGGGAGCACGTCCGCGTACTTGTCATCGAGGAGGTGAGCATGGCGGCGGCTGCTCTGTACAACGCGCCGGACCTTCGCGCTTGCCACGGACGCAGCGACACGCATGACGTGCAGGAGTCCACCTACAAGAGGCAGCATCACCACTTCGGGCGCGTCCCCATCGTGGTGCACCTCGGCGATTTCCTGCAGCTGAAGCCCACCGGCAGCATCGGCCTCCTAGCGGACCCCAACGAGCTCCTGGAAGACGATTCGCACAAGTACAAGGAGCCGCCGACGTTGGAGATTCAGCACGCCATCAACGTCTTCAAACACATCCCCTGCGTCTTCGAGCTGAAAGGCACGAGGCGCTTCGAGCTAGGGGACCCTCTGATCACGCTCTGCACGCGCGAGGGCAAGCGCTCCCCACCAGAGGTCTGGTCTGCCTGGGAGAAGACATTGGCCCTGGACAACCACGGCGTCCTGGGCCCTCGGCACCAGCACGAGAACTTTCGGCTCAGCTACGGCATGGGCATCTACTGGGAGACGCTGGCGAGGTGGATCAACACGCGCGCCCGTCGCGACGCGCGGCGTCTCGGCGCCCCCCTCGTTTTCCTGCTGGCCGTAGACGAGTGCGGCACGATTCAAGGCGACCCAGACGCAGGCCGGCGCCTCCTGAACGTTCCGAACATGCACAAGACCGGGGACATCCACGGCGTCTTACCAGCACGCGTCGGCATGGAGGTCCGGTTCACGGCCGTGCAGGAGGAGTTGAAGAAGAAGTTGGGGCTCGTGCAGGAGCAACGGGCCACCATCGTGTCCTTCGAGTTTCACGCAGACGACGAGCGGGACTACGAGGAACGCGCGCCGGGCCAGCTCTTCCGCCCCCGTTACCTACCGCAGGGAATCTGGCTGCAGGTGCACGGCTTCCAGGGGCCCCCGATCTACAATGGGTCGCCGAGGTGCCGCGGAAGCGCGCCGATGGCGCTGGCGACGGCTGCGAGGCCGAGGCGCGGGCGAGGAGCTTGCCCGCGTTCAGGCCCAGCGAGCAGGAGTTCACGCGGCAGAGCTCGGGGGCGCACGCTGTGCGCCGCTCGGGGTTTACCCTGACGCGTGCGTCCTATCTGACCTCCACGCTGTCGCAGGGCCAGACGCTGCGCAAGGGCGTCGCCGTCGACTGCGCCAGGGATGAGGACGCTGGCCGCAAGGGCATGTTGGACGAGATGTGGTGGCTGCACCTCTACGTCATGTTCTCCCGCGCCACGCGCATGCGGAACATGCTGATCCTGCGGCCGGCCGCGCGAGAGTTCCTGGAGCGCGGGCCGCCGGCGTCCCTGCGGAAGGCGCTAGAGGAGTTTGACAAGAGAGCGGTAGGCCCCAGGGCTGAGGCGGAGCAGTTCGCGGCAGAGCTGGGCTGCGCGCTGCCGCCCGCCCGAGCGCCGCGGCGCGCGCCTGGAGGCCCGCGGGGTTGCCCCAACGGCTGGCTCCCGCGCCCCTGCGGCCTGCGAGGTTGCCCCAGCGGCCTGGCCCGAAGGGTTGCCCCGACGGCTTCGCGATCTAGCCATCGGCAAACGCGCGCGCGGTGGCCGACGCGGCGACGGCGCCGAAGAAAATCGAGTTGCTTGCCACGACCAGGGGGAACGGGAGGTGCACATGGAGAAGAGGCAGGGGGATGAGGAGGGAATGGGGCATGGGGGGGGGCGACGACGAGGAGGAGGTGGCGCGAGAGGGGGAGGAGGAGGAGGAGGGGGAGGAGGAGGAGAAGGAGGAGGAGGAGGAGGAGGGGAAGGAGGAATAGAAATAGAAGGAGGAATAGAGGGCAGCGCAGAGGGCGAGAGGAGAGGGTGTCCGCCAGGGGGAGGAGGAAAGGGCAAAGGGTAAGCTAAGCAGATTCGCGTGCGGGGTCCTACCGTCGGAGTAATTTACAGTCAGGATGGGCGGGCCCGGATTGACGGCTCAGCGCGCGATGTGCGCCGCGTCCCATATGTGCGCCGCGTCTCACTGCTGCCGCATATTTCGCACCGCCGGCGACATTGCAGGCCATGCTGAGATGAAACAACAAAGACTTTGTTTTGATTTTTTTCAGTCAGGATGGACGGGCCCAGATTGAGTGCCGCGCGCGATGTGCGCCGCGTCCCATTCCTGCCACGTTGTTCGCATCGTCGACGACAAGAAAGACGATGTTGAGAAGAACAACGGCCACTTTGTATTGATTTTTTACAGTCCGGATGGGGGGTCCCGGATTGGGTCGCTCTCGGCCGGAATACGACGTAGGTGGGGGTATATTCTAATAGCGAACAAGGCTGGGGGAAGGCTGAGCGACGGGGGGGGGTGGGGGGAAGGCTGTGCCGACGATAAAGTGGTCGCGGCGGGAGGGGCGGTGCGCTGGGTTGCTGGCGAGGGGGGCCGCGGGCGGGCTGGCTTGAAAGGGGGGGCGGGGGGGGGCGAGGGCGGTGCGACGGGGGGGGGGGGGCGCGGTGCGACGACGCCGAAATAAAACTGTCGGTGCGGAGTGGGCGGTGCGACGCCGGAGTGATCGCGGCGGAAGAGACTGTGCGCTGGGAGTGGGAGGCGGTTGGGGTAGAGGCGGTGCGACGGCGCCTGAATAAAGTGGTAGCGGCAGAGGGGGCGGTGCGCTGGGCTGCTGGGGAAGAGGGCGACGGGGGGGGGGGGGGGGCGGTGCGACGGCGCCGAAATACAGTTGTCGCGGCAGAGGGGGCGTTGCGCTGGGGCTGGGGGGGGCGGGGCGGGGGGGGGCGGTGCGACGGAGGGAAGGGGGGGGGCGGTGCGACGACGCCGGAATACAGCGGTCGCGGCGGATCGAGCAGTGCGCTGGGCTGCCGGGGGGGGGGGCGCGGGGGGGGGTCAGGGCGGTGCAACGGGGGGGGGGGGCGGGCCAGGGCGGTCAACGCTGCTGGGCAACGCTGGGGCAAGGGCGGTGCGACGACGCCGAAATAAAGTGGTCGGAGCTCTAGGCGCCCTGTGCAAGAGAATAAATAAATGTAAGGACGGCGCGGCGGGCACATCGACACGCTCTGCAAAGCGGCCAAAAAGGCGCTATCATACGCCGAGGAGCTTGTCGACGAGCGTTGCGGGAAGGACGTGGCTGTGACCATTGTATGCGGCTGGTCCGGCCGGCCACCATTAGGGCCCAAAGCATCAAAAGGGGCTCGTTGGACATTGTGACCAGACTGGAATGATGATTCGGAAGCACATGCAGGAACGATTTGGGAAGATATGTGTGGCCTGTGCCCAGAAACCCAGGGTCTTCGTCATCAGCGGCAGCACAAGCTTCGACGCCTTGAAAGAATGGACGTGATGAGCTTCACCCCAGCGGAGACGAAGACCTCGCTGACCTCGTCCGCGTCATGAACTTCTTGCCGACTGCGGCCTGTACTCAATCATCGCGTCAGGCCCACAGCAGCTAGACAATGTATGGCAGACCGCTGTCATCGGAGCTTGTTTCTGAATCCAATATCACCCGCAACGTCCGCCAAGGGGGTCCGCCTTCCCCCCCGCAGCAGTGGCGATCTCGCGGGGAGGCGGGCTCCGCCCGCCCACCCGCTCGCATGCACGTGGTGACATTTGCAGGCGAGTGTGGCGGCCACGCGCACCCTGCATGCTGTTGTGTTCGCGCGCAGTTGTGGTGTTGGCAGGCATGCTGTGGCGCTCGCAGGCAAGCGGCGGTGCTCACGAGCATGCTGTGACGCTCGGAGGCACTGCCTGCGCTCGCACACATACTGCTTCGATCGCGGGTCATTGTGGCATTTGCAGAAGCCGGCGTACTGCTGCTCATGCATGTGGCGGTCGCTGGCGGTTGTGGCACTGGCACGGTCTAGCGTCCCCCGCCACCCTGCGGTCGCAAACGCATTGATTGGCGCGCTCACGGGCGCGACGCGGTGCCTCCCAGGCCATTCTTCTGCCCACGAAGGACTAAGAGGACGAGGCAGAGGAGGATGGAGGAAAGAAGAGGGAGGCTATCACAACTTGGTGTGGAGTAGCTAGTGGTATGTACATGCCCTTTGCGCTCAGCTCATAGGCGAGTCGCGGTGTTCGCAGAGTTCCGTGGTACTCACAGGCACACTGTGTCTCTCGCAGGCAATATTGTGCTACTAGCATATTGTGCTACTAGCAAGGTCTGGCACAATGTTGTGAATACGCGTGTTACTGCCATTATTCGCATGTCCGTAGCCTTGGCTCGAGCTATAGTGACTCAAATTGCCGTGTATCACCAGCATATGAGCGAATCACTACTCAATGCAACAGTACATACATGAAGACAGCGCCTATCCTTCCTCTCATTATTACTAATGGGCTTCTGCCAGCATTGGAGTTCTTTTCTCATTGCCATCATTGGTCTGTGGGCTGTCGCTTTTCTGGGTGCAGGAGGACGTCGGCAAAACACGTGGATGTACAACGAGCCGTCCATCACAATGCGTGACAGGTCCCCAGCGGCCCCTCCGCAGCAACACGGGACTCCGAAGCCCCCCCGCGGCCCCTCCGCAGCAGGGCTTGGCCCTGGGGGCCAGGGGCGGCCCTCCACGGCCCCTCCGGAGCAGAGCGGGGCTCCGATGGAGGGCGGCCCCCCCGCGGCCCTTCCGAAGCGGAACGTGGCTCCGACGGGCGAGGGGCGCGCCGCGGCCCCCCCGCAGCAGGCCCCTCTGGAGTGGAGCGGGGCTCCAAGGGAGGGCGGGCACCCCGCGACCCCTCCGCAGCAGAGCGGGGTTCCGAAGGACGAGGGGCGCCCCGCGGCCCCTGTGCAGCAGAGCAAGTCTCCAGAGGAAGGGGATTGGGGTGGGCTGGCGCGCGCCCGAAGCTGGCGGACCTGCAACATGAGTTACAGGACGGCCCGCAAGCTGTCGACGATCTACATAGTGAGCGACGCGCTGAAACTCACGTACGTGCTCATGTCCAAGTCAGGCTCGTCCACGATTCGGGACATGATGGGTACCAAAAACGCCGCGAAGCCCAACTGGAACTACACGGTGTTCACCGTGGTGCGGGATCCGCTGGAGCGGAGCGTGTCTTGGTTCTTCGAGATAGAGTGGAAGAATTATAAGAAGAAGTCAGGGGCATTGCAGGCCTTCGACAATGCGACCGCCAAACTTGCCCGGACGAATGGAGACCGTGGTCATGGTCATGGGCAGAGGACCGTTTTCCTTCCACCTCGACATTATTATGATTTCGTGGGCACACTTGCAAACATCGCCACAGACTGGGCTCAGCTAGGGGAGCTGCAGAAGCAGCGTTTCGGCATCGTGAACTGGCCTCAAGTGGTCCCTCGCCAACGTGACCACCACTCATCATATGGAAAAACCCTCGACGTGGCCACGCTGCCAGTCAGCCTCAAGCAGCGAGTATGCAACATTTACCGGGATGACTACTGTTGTTTCCACCTCCCTGTGCCAGCCGCTTGCCGCGTCGATTGTGCTGGTGGACTCCCGCAGCGAAGCTATGACCCGACGTAGACGGACTTCTGGACTGGAACTTAGGAGCTGCGCGTAGTTTTGTCCTGTCTTCCCTGGCGTCGCCACAGCCAGTGCAGCCCGCCCCGCGAACAAATCCACCTGCCTGCCGGGAGCCCCGCCACCGCGGCAGCCCCAGCCATTTGGGCGGCAGCTCTTCGAATGGTGATGACGGTGACGACGAAGACGACAATGATTATGACAGACGCGACGCCTCTCGGATCCACTTCTTGAAGAGATTTGATGGAGCTCCGTTGGGCCGTCTTGGGGTTGTCGTGGGCTCCTGCGAGGCAGTCTCGAGGGCCCTTGGGGCCCCCTTCGGCCGTCTTGGGGCCCTTTGGGCGGTCTTGGGGCTCTCTTCGGCCGTCTTCGGGCCTTCTTGGCCGTTTGGCGGTCCTCTTGGGGCCGTCTTGGGTCCGGCTGGGGCCGTGGAGGGGCTGTCGGAGGCTGCGCCAGATCCCTCCAGGGGCCCTCTTGGGCCAGCCTGGGGGCTCTCCTGGGGCCGTCCTGGGCCGTCTGGGGCCTTTTCTTGCGCCGTCTTGAAACCGCCTCGGCGACTCCTGAGCCGTTTTGGGGGCCGTCTTGGGACTGGAGCCTCGGGCTTGCCAGGCGGTCAGGCGCTGGTGTGTGTTTTTGTTTGTTCGTCTTCTTCCACTGCGCCCGGCCCGGCGCCCAGGTCTTGCCAGGCAGCCTTGCGCCTTCTACACCAGGAAGAGATGTGAGATCAAATGTCGTCGCGAGGCAGATCGGACCAGAAAACGTACTCGTATGTTGCAGTGCGCGTGGTATCCTAAAACTAGTGGTGTTCAAAGCATGAGAACATTGTACATCGTCCTAAAAACATATTATCCCGGCAAAGCAACCTAACAGCGATGTGTAGGAGCATATCTGGAAGCATTCCCCTTAAGATTCAGATGAGAATCCTGTTGTAGAATTCTGCTGTTCTCGCAGTCGTAGTCGCATTCGCGATGGCAGTCGCAGTGGCAACGGCAGTCGCAGTCACAGCCTCAGCCTCAGCCTGCCTCAGCCTCAGCCTCAGCCTGCCTCAGCCTCAGCCTGCCTCAGCCTCAGCCTCAGCCTCAGCCTCAGCCTCAGCCTGCCTCAGCCTCAGCCTGCCTCAGCCTCAGCCTGCATCAGCATCAGTCTGCCTTCAGCCTCGGCCTCAGCCTCAGCCTGCCTCAGCCTCAGCCTGCATCAGCCTCAGCCTCAGCCTCAGCCTCAGCCTCAGCCTCAGCCTGCCTCAGCATCAGCCTGCCTCAGCCTCAGCCTCAGCCTGCCTGCCTGCCTCAGCCTGCTTCAGCCTCAGCCTCAGTCTGCCTTCAGCCTCGGCCTCAGCCTCAGCCTCAGCCTCAGCCTCAGCCTCAGCCCTCAGCTCAGCCTCAGCCTCAGCCTCAGCCTGCCTCAGCCTCAGCCTCAGCCTGCTTCAGCCTCAGCCTCAGTCTGCCTTCAGCCTCGCCTCAGCCTCAGCCTGCCTCAGCCTCAGCCTGCCTCAGCCTCAGCCTCAGCCTCAGCCTGCCTCAGCATCAGCCTGCCTCAGCCTCAGCCTCAGCCTGCCTGCCTCAGCCTCAGCCTGCTTCAGCCTCAGCCTCAGTCTGCCTTCAGCCTCGGCCTCAGCCTCAGCCTGCCTCAGCCTCAGCCTGCATCAGCCTCAGCCTCAGCCTCAGCCTGCCTCAGCATCAGCCTGCCTCAGCCTCAGCCTCAGCCTGCCTCAGCCTCAGCCTCAGCCCTCAGCCTCAGCCTCAGCTGCTTCAGCCTCAGCCTCAGTCTGCCTTCAGCCTCGGCCTCAGCCTCAGCCTGCCTCAGCCTCAGCCTCAGCCTGCCTCAGCCTCAGCCTGCCTCAGCCTCAGCCTCAGCCTGCCTCAGCCGCAGCTTGCCTCAGCCTCAGCCACAGCCTCAGCCTCAGCCTCAGCCTCAGCCTCAGCCTCAGCCTCAGCCTCAGCCTGCCTCAGCCTGCCTCAGCCTCAGCCTCAGCCTCTCAGCCTCAGCCAGCCTCAGCCTCAGCCTCAGCCTCAGCCCTCAGCCTCCGCAACTTGCCTCAGCCTCAGCCACAGCCACAGCCTCAGCCTGCCTCAGCTTCAGCCTCAGCCTCAGCCCGCCTCAGCCTCAGCATCACCCTGCCTCAGCATTCAAAATGTGGCTCACCCTGCCTCAGCATCACCCTGCCTCAGCCTGCCACAGCCTCAGCCTGCCTCGGCTTGCCTCAGCCTCAGCCTCAGCCTGCCTCAGCCGCAGCCTCAGCCACAGCATCAGCCTCAGCCTGCCTCAGCCTCAGCCTCATCAGCCTCAGCCTCAGCGTCAGCCTGCCTCAGCATCAGCCTGCCTCAACCTCAGCCTCAGCCTGCCTCAGCCTGCCTCAGCCTCAGCCTCAGTCTGCCTTCAGCCTCAGCCTCAGTCTGCCTTCAGCCTCGGCCTCAGCCTCAGCCTGCCTCAGCCTCAGCCTGCATCAGCCTCAGCCTCAGCCTCAGCCTGCCTCAGCATCAGCCTGCCTCAGCCTCAGCCTCAGCCTCAGCCTCAGCCTCAGCCTCAGCCTGCTTCAGCCTCAGCCTCAGTCTGCCTTCAGCCTCGGCCTCATCCTCAGCCTGCATCAGCCTCTGCCTCAGCCTCAGCCTGCCTCAGCATCAGCCTGCCTCAGCCTCAGCCTCAGCCTCAGCCTCAGCCTCAGCCTCAGCCTGCTTCAGCCTCAGCCTCAGTCTGCCTCAGCCTCGGCCTCAGCCTCAGCCTGCCTCAGCCTCAGCCTGCCTCAGCCTCAGCATCACCCTGCCTCAGCATTCAAAATGTGGCCTGGGAGTGGAGTTCTGGGAACTCGAAAAACACGAGGTGGCCTACACTTGGCTCCGGGCATTCAAAATGTGGCCCGGGAATGGAGTTCTGGGAACTCGAAGACCACGAAGTGGCCTACAGTTGGCTCCAGGCATTCAAAATGTGGCCCGGATATGGAGTTCTGGGAACTCGAAGACCACGATGTGGCCTACAGTTGGTTCCGGGCATTCAAAATGTGGCCCGGGAATGGAGTTCTGGGAACTCGAAGACCACGAAGTGGCCTACAGTTGGCTCCGGGCATTCAGAATGTGGACCGAGAATGGAGTTCTGGGACCTCGAAGGCCACGAAGTGTGTGACTGTTTGCTTAAAACGAGCCCGGCCCTGAGCCCGGCCCTCGCTGTCCGGATGCCGCCCAGACCTCCCTTCTGAGTCATCAGATGCTCTCTTTTGACACCACTAGAAGCCTATCAGTCTTCGCTGTTAGGTAACAACAGATGGTCGACAGTTGTCTTTGTATGCGTAGTGTTGTTCAAGTGGTGAATTGATGAGTTTTATACGCGATGATGTATGGTGGTTTGCTTTGTGGTGTGAAAGTTTAAACTTGTTGTCTAAGTTGTACATATGTGTTCTAAAGTTTGTGTACTGTTGTTCTACATTGTGCTGCAAGCGTGCGTTATGTTTATCCTATGCGGTTGTGTAGCGTTTCGAAGCGCACGCTAGTGTCATCAAGTGTGCGTTACTTTCGTAAACAATACCTTGCCAACGTGTGCATTCTTACCCTGAAGTGTGCGCTCATGTTCTAAAGTTTGCACACGATTGTTATCATATTTGCGTTTTGCTGTTCTCAAGTTTGTACACCCTTGGTTGCATGGTTGATCCCGCAAGCTTCAAGTAGCATATGAGCCACTTTTGCAGCACATTCGAGCACAACGATGGCACTCAATAATTAGTTGCGTGTCAACGCTCAAGATGTTCTGGACTAGTTTAGCAGCGTCTTGCGTTCTTATCTCGCTTGTGCGCCTCTGTGTAGCCCTGAGGGCTTTCTATCGGATTCGTGTTGTTTCCCGTATATCGCAATACGTGGGTTTCGCCCCCACGTTCGCGGGCGTTTCAATCCAGAGACGCGATTTGGGAGGCTGTGCGCGAAGTTATCCGTCTCCTTTAAACATGTAATCGTGGTGGGTACACTGTGTAATGCAGGGAGAGATCCGATCTCACTTAGTTTTTAGTTAGCAGTGGTAAAGCAACATTGTATCGATCAGCCATGTTTTCGATGTTAGTTTGCAAAATCATGTACAGTTTCAGGTACTTCCTTTTTTGTTTGCTCTCTAGCATTGCGAAACAATCGGTAGAAACAGCATTTGAGTGAGCAATCGTAGTTTTGAGCGACGTTTAGTGTTTAGCAATCCTTGCATTTTTGTGCGGTTCGAATGCAGTGCGCATATATGTTGCCCTTCGCTGGTTTGTGTAAGGTTCCAGATGTATCATTGCAAGTTGAGTTTTCTGTTTGGTCGGGAGGTTGTTCGGCACAGCTTCTCGGGCTTGTTCGCGGTGGAGGTATCATAGATCTGTTCTGCATTTGTACTGGAAGTTGTTCGGCACAAGTTCGCGGGTTCGCTCGCGGCGAAAAATTAGATGATAGGGTCGGGGTCGATTCCAGGCCAGGAATTGTCATGTGGGGGGGGTCCACAAACAGAGGTTCTGGGCAGGAGATGCGGGGGCACGGTGGGGGTCAGGCGGGGGGGTCGGGGTAGGTTCATGGCCAGGAATGGTCGGGCGGGAGGGCCCAAACACAAGGTTCTTGTCGGGGAGGATGCCGGAACGCGGTGGGGGTCAGGGTGGGTGGTCGGGGTTGATTCCAGGCCAGGAACTGTCGATGGGGGGGACCCAAGAGCAGAAGTGATGCCGGGGCACGGTGGAGGTCAGGGTGGAGGGTCGGGGTGGGTTCCAGGCCAAGAAGAGTCGTGCGGGGGGCCCAAGAACCTATGTTGTGGGCGGGGAAGACGCCAGGGCACGGTGGGGGTCAACGCGCGGGGTTGGGGTCGATTCCAGGCCAGGAATTGTCGGGTGGAAAGCCACAAGAACAGAGATTCTGGGCGGGGAAGATACCAGGGCACGGTGGGGGTCAGGGTGGAGGACGGCGGGGATCACGGCGGGGGGGGCGAGGCTGATTGCGAGACAGGAGTGGTCAGATGGGATCCCCCCAAGAACAAAGAGCTTGGTCGGGGAGCATGTCGGGGCACGGTTGGGTCAGGGTGGAGGGTCGGGCTGGGTTCCAGGCCTGGAAGTGTCGTGTGGGGTGATCCAAAAGCAGAGGTTGTGGGTGGGGAAGTTGCCGGGATACGGTGGGCGTCAGGGCGGGGGTCGGCTCTGACTGCGGGGCTGGAATGGTGGGCGCGGGGCCGCAAGAACAGAGGTCCTGGTTGGGGAAGACGCCAGGGCACGGTGGGGGCGAAGGCGGGGGGTCGGGGTCGATTCCAGGCCAGGAGTTGTCGTGTGGGGGTGCCCAAAGGGCACAGGTTCAGGGCGGGGGGGATGCCGGGACACGGCGGGGATCACAGCGGCGGGGCACGGCGGAGATCACGCGCAGCCTCTTCGCGCAGCACCTCCCCGGGCCCGTGCGCGCACACCACTCGGCGAAGCGTCGGCCAGCCCAGCCAGCGCAAGGGGCCTCCACGAGGCGCCCGCGGCCGCCCACCAGGCGAGCGCTCGGCAGACCCAGCCAGCGCGGGGGGCAGCCACGAAGCGCCCACGGGGGCCAGCAGGCAAAGCCCCGACAGACCCGACCAGTTAATCAAGGAGGGGAGGGTGGAGGAGGAGGAGGAGGAAGACAAGTTTGCGCAGGCGCGGCCGCGCTCCAAACGGGAGCATGACAGCGCCGCGCACCGATTCTCGCTCTGCTGGTATGCACGCTTCGAGACAACCAATTTTCCATTTACCTTCAGTACATGTCGAAAGAACTGCGGGGCGGCCACGCTTGCTGCTGCCCATGAGGTGCCCCCGCCGTCGCTGTGCACAACGTGCCAGCTCGAGCTCCGTTGTCGCGAACTGTTTCAGATACTCTCACTGCTTGCATGAGTGCATACTTTTGATGTGCACTCGAATGCCGCATCCAAGCTGCAAGCTAGGTGTGATCACAAGCTAGGTGTGAGGAACCGCGTAGAGAGCACGGACCGCAGCGCAACATGTGAGTGCCTAACTACATTGGAGATCAAAGAGCGAAGAGACAAAAGGAGAGAGCAGAGGGCGGAGAGGAGAGGAGAGAGTGCAGAGGCTAGAGTGGAGAGTAGGACATCAAGTGCAGACAGCGGGGCGCCTGGGGCAGACAACAGAGGGCAAGGAGAACGACACTTGTCATCCCTTGCTCCCCCTCCCCACAAGGGTCCTCGCAGTGCCCCCCCGCTGCGTGTACATCCCACCCGCGAGCAAGAGGATGGGGGGCTCTTTGGTGTGGTTGTCTGTGCACGTGCCTCTGTCAGGAGGGGAAAAACACAGACACAACGAATCGTCGATCCCGAGGAAGATATGGGAAACTATTGGAAGTGGGGGGAAGACAAAAACCTCGAAAATATGGGTAAATATTGGAACTGCTGCTACTTGTGTGCATTCACCTGCGTGGCCCAGGGCCCCATTCACTCTGGCCCTGCCCCTGCTTCGGCCAGAGATTCCCTTGGGCCGGCCCTGGGCTGCCCTGCCCCTATCGTGGAGCCGCCGGCTCGTGCAGCCGCTTTGGCCGAAGCCGCGCCCCCCCCCCCGGCCCGACCACCCTCGAGACCGCGGTCGCCGAGCCGCCCGCGTCCCAGCCCATGGCGTTCGTCACGAAGAAGGACACCGGCCTGAAGACGGTCATCAAGGGCTTCCTCACCGGCGGCACGCAGGCCGCCATCACGTACCCGACCGAGTTCGTCAAGACCCAGCTGCAGCTCCAGTCCAAGGCCAACCCCGAGTATGCGGGCATCGCCGACTGCTTCAAGAAGGTGTACGCCAAGCACGGCATGGGTGGCCTCTACGCTGGGGCTCCCGTGCGGATCATCGGCGCGGGCTTCCAGCAGATGTTCCGGTGGGGAGCCTATACGAACTTGGCGGGCGTCGCCCGCGACCCCGCGACCGGCAAGTTGAGCCCGCTGATGACCACATTGTGCGGCCTCGGCGCGGGCATCTGCGAAGCCGTCTGCGCCGTGACCCCCGTCGAGACGCTCAAGACGCGCGTGAACGACGACATGCGCCGAGGCTGGAGGAACAACGAACGGCATAAACACATAATTGCAGAGCTTCGCGCGGCTTTATTGGATCATCACTGGGCCACCCTGGCGGCGCCTCCGGCGCCGCTCCTGGCGCGCTTGGCGCGCCAGGGAGGGGGGTCCAGCGCTGATCCAAGAAATCCTCGCGGAGCTCCAGAAGTTTATATTAAGACGGTGTTTGTTCCTCGAGAGGCACTGGCAATTACAAGAGCACCGGCGACGCGCTGGTGAAGATCTTCAAGTCGGAGGGCCCGATGGGCCTGTACCGCGGCGCGGCGCCCACGATCCTCAAGCAGGGCACCAACCAGGCGGTCAGGATGCCCGCTCAGGTCCAGATCATGGCGCTCATCTGGAGGAACAGAGAGCGGCATAAGCATCAGTCCCCGGAGGTGCGCGCGGACTCCGTGGGTAGGCGCTGGGCCCCCTTCCCTGGCGCGCGGCGCCCACCAGGAGCGGCGTTGGAATCGCTGCCAGGGGGCTCGAGTGCCGCTCCGAAAAATCCGCGCGGAGCTCCGAAAGCGTTATGCTTATGATGCTCTTCTTTCCTCTGCCATCACTTTCGGGGACACCTCGCAGAATGCCAACCCCCTCCTCAACGGGGGCGCGGGGTTCCTCGCAGGCTGTGTCTCCGTGATGGCCACGCAGCCCGCGGACTGCGTGAAGTCGAGGATGCAGGGCGAGGCCGCCAAGGAGCTGTATTCCGGCACCCTCGACTGCGCGATGAAGATGCTGAAGAGCGAGGGCCCTTCCAGTTTCTTCGCGGGGTCCATACCCCGCATGGTGCAAGTGGGGATGACGAGCGGCATCAGTTTTGCGCTGTTCCCGGTAATCAGCAAGCTGCTCAACAAAGTCATGTAGAGGTTTCGGCCGCAAGTTCCGACCGCGCCTGCTGTGATGCTGGCAGCTTCGCAGTTCAGACGTTTCCAGCGCGGTCTTCTGTGTGTTCGCAACTCTGGGTCCACAACTCCATTCGGCACCTATGAGGCCAGAGTGCAGACATGAGGTCGAAGGATCGGGCCACGCCGCTGATGCATCGGCGATGCAGTGCAATCAACTGTCCGATGCTCTCCATCCCGATGTCGCCGAAGCATAAACGATGTGGAGCGATTGTCCGACCCCATCTGCTCCGGCCCCATATGGGTTACGTCCACGAACTTTATTATAGTGCACCTGCTCTGTCCACACCCCGTCCAGCCAAATACAGTGTTTGTTCCGAGCGCTCGCCGCACTGGCAAGGCTGAGGCCAGCTATGAACGGCCAGGGCTCAGGTTGCGATTCCCGCAAACTTTTTGCTGCTGGACTGCTCATCGAGAAACCTGCCCAGTGAGGAGCACACAAGAACCTTGAAAGCTGCTATCCACCGTCTACCTTCGGCGAGTGGCCAGGCCTGGCGGTCGAGAAGGCGGTCGATAGTGGTGGAGGGGGCAAGAGAAAGGGGCGAGCAAGAGGAGGATGAGGAGCAGCCTGATCGCGTCTGTGGAGGAGTGGAGGAGGGAAGCGTGGAGGAGGAGGAGGAGGAGGAGGAGGAGGAGGGGGAGGAGGAGGGAGGCAGCAGCAGGGGGAGGGGCCCCATGGGCCTGCAGTCTCCACAGAGTGCTCTCCAGGCCTGCAGTCTTCTCCCTGGGTCCCTCTGGTTCGCCCACATGCATTCGTCTTGAAATTGCCCTGACCCGAACTAGTCAATAATGCCGACGTGTGGGCTGCAGCATAAGCGGTGCAGTCCATGCCGCAGCGCAACCTGCGGGCCACATTGTTCAAGGGGGAGCATTTGGAGCGCAGGGATCGGCGCGAAGCGCAGGGAGCGCCCAGGTCCCACGCGGCGTCGACGGCCGCAACGCGCGGCGACTTGCGGCAATCAAGGCCCAGTGGGGCTACCCTGAGATCCGAGCATTCCCATTTTTTCACACCGTGCGTTTTCGCCCCATGTCATGCCCTGGGGCCATCACAGATCGATCCACTTCAAAAAATGCCGCAGAAAGATATGGTCTAGGGTTCGATGTTGCAATTATTTCGCAACGTCGGATTTCAGGGTACACCCAGGGCCCCACGCCAATTGGGCTCCACGTTCTGCGCCGTTTTCAGTGGGCGGTCGGGTTTTGGTTTCCCGGTTTCGGGTGTCTTGGTTTCTTGGCCCCGTTTCTGGCGATATGTACTTGGCTTCTTGCGACCACGGGCAGAATGAGAGAGTCGACCGTAGACAGAAAATGATACATGTCAGAGAGTAAAAAAAAGCAAGGCTGGCTGTATATATATAGAGAGAGAGGGAGAGAGAAACAACAAACAAAGAACAGAAAACAACGAAAACACATGTTAGCCAGCGTGGACCCCAAACAGTACGTTTCTAGCCATATATGTTGTGCAAACCGTGTTGTGCAATCTGGGTGGTGCAATGTAGGTTGTGCAATATCTGTCGTACAGTAGATGGTGTGCGACACTTGTGCAACATATGCAATGTATGTGGCGCAGTCTATGCGGTGCTATTGGTTTTTCTTGAAAACGAGTTGACACATCCCATGCTCGTGCAAACATCCCACCCACCCACACGCAACTTGGTTTGCAAAACCCATGCGGTGGCGATTGCGATGCATGGTTGGCGTTGGCTAGTGCATCCCTGCGGCCGCGCCAACCCAAACACGCGCGCGCAGCGGCCAGCTAGTTTGGCGCGACCAGCGCGGCCGCGGTGGCGCTGACCGCTGGGCGCATCCCAGCGGGCACTTCAGTGCGAGTCGGCGACTTGGGCGGGCGCGGTATCAAGGCCACGTCGACAGCGGTAGACGATGATGATAGTAGCGATACTGGTGATTTTGTTGACAGTGACGACGGCACGGCCACTGACGGCGCCGACGCTGATCACGCCGACGACGATGACGGCGTCTTCGCGTCGGTGATGAAGGTTTTGGAGCGAGATCGTTCAGCGCGCGCGGCCGGCGCGCGAGAGAGGCCCGCATGGTATTATGTGATACGGATCGTGACCCCCCCAGCACGCGCGCAAGGGCGTGTGAATGATTTCGGCATGCGGCGCGAGAGGCCCGCTTGGCAGAGTTCCATGCACATGTTGAAACATGTATGGTTGTCTTGAGAATTCGCCAATGCGCGAGGGCAGGACTTGTTGTAAACTAGCGTTGCGAACCCGTGTTTTTGGTAATCCGGTTTCGGGACACTCGTTTTTAACATCTTTCGGACAATGATTTGTTTGGTTGATTTTGGCATGCGAGCGCGACGACGCGCGCGCGTATTTCGTCCCTTTTGTTGCAAGCTATTCATGGGACAGCACTCGGGCAAGGGCTCTATCATGATTTCGACATGCGCGCGCGAAGCCCGTTTGGTAGCACTTCATGAATATATTTGTGTATAAATATATAATTGTATCTATGAAGACCTTATGTTAGACTTAAGGATTCGCAAGAGCGCGCGCAAGTTTGCTTTGAAGAGTCGCGCTGCGAAACCCTATGTTGTTTAAGGCTTTGCTGGGGCATTCGATTTCGAAATCACCACGACACCGAAGGTGTTTCAAGGGTTTCCAGCATGCGCGCGCGACGACGCACGCGTATACACATCGTCGCGTTTGTTTGTGAGCAATGGACTTTTGGAGGGTTATGGTTTATTCATACGCGAATGCGCGCACATAGTAGTTGTTAGCACGTGGGGGGGGGGGGGGCGTCACGGGCTCGGCTGGAGTGGTACGAGTGTGTATTTCGGATGGACGATGGGGCAGAGATTACATCACGAAAATGTGAGTGGATAGTCCCGGGCGGGGGGTAGAGAATCATTGTGCAGAATGTGTGGTGTTATTTGTTTGGTCAAATCTATGTTGTGCAGTTCATTTGCCGAACTTGAAGTTATCAATTCCACTGCTCTCGCAATCATCCCACCCACCCACCCGCAACTTGATTGGCAAAATATCTTAAGACCGTGACGGTGGGTACCACATGGCATTGGAAACAGCGACGCCGACGACGACAGCGACAACGACGACGACGCCGCCGACAACGACCACGACGACACCGACGACGTCTCCAACGACTTCAACGACGCCGACGACGACGACGACGACGACGCTGACAACGACGACGACGATGACGACGCCGACGACGACGACAACGACGACACCGACGACGACGACGACGACGACGACGTCAACGACGCCGACGACGACGGCGACGACGACGACGACGACGACGGCGGCGACGACGACTACGCCGACGTCGACGACGACGAAGACGACGACGACGACGCCGACGCCGACGACGACGACGAAGATGACGACGACGTCGCCAACGAAGACGACGAGGGAGGAGGGAGGACGACGACGGCGACAACGACGACGACGACAACGACGAGGGAGGAGGGAGGACGAAGGCGCGAACGACGAAGAAGGAGGAAGGACGGCGATGCCGACGACGACGACGACGACGACGAAGGCGAAGAAATAGGAGGGACGACGACGGGACGCCGACGACGTACGACGACGACGACGAGGGAGGAGGAGGAAGGACGACCATGGCGACAACGACAACGGAAACGACCACGACGCCCAAGAGGACGACGACGACGAACACGAGGAAAGACAGAGGACGACGTAGGCGACGACGACGACGACGCGGGAGGAGGGAATCCAGCGACGACGACGACGACGCAAGAGCGCGCGCGCACGCTTTTGTTGAAAATCCGTGTTGCGAAACCTTGTGTTCTGTAGGTTTTTTGGACACACGATTTTGAAATCCTTCCGAAACCGATGGGTTTTTAAGGATTTCGGCATATGCGCGCGACGACGCGCGCGTCTGCACCGCGTTTAATTATTTGCAGAGGATTTTCGCGACGGCACACGCGCAAGGGCTTTCGACAGATTTCGACATGCGCGCGCGAAGCCCGTTTGGTAGCACGTTGTGAAAATATTGAAAAAAAACAGTTTTCTTAAGATTTCGCAAGAGCTCGCGCGTAACCTTTTTTAGCACATCAGTATTGCGAAAGCATGTGTTTTTGTATGTTTTTGGGGAAACTCGATTGCGAAATCCTTCCGACACCGAAGGTTGTTGAAGGATTCCGGCATGCGCGCGCGACGACGCGCGCGTGCGCACTTCGTCTTGTTTTTGCAAGGGATTCGTGAAACAGTTTTGTGTTCGAGCAACAACTGTCCCCGCGTATTGTTTTGTTGCAAGGGAGCCTCAGGGGGGCCGACCCCTGCCCCCCTGGGAAAGTGTAAATTCATATTTTGGATGGACATGTGGTCATAATCGTCCATGATTTACATGCCCGAAAGGGGGGCCGATAACGCTGGGGGGGGGGGGGTCGAGTTTTTTCTTTCTAGAAAGGAGAAATAACAATGTGCAGTCTATATTGTGCCAGCTGCGTTGTGCAATCTCTGTGCTGTGCAATATCTGTGGTCCAATATATGTGGTGCAACCGATGGGGTTCACAGTCGACGCTGCGCAATCTACGCATGTGCTGCCATATATGTGGTGCACTCTGCGTGGTACGAGCTGATGCATCCCATGCTCTTGCAAACATCCCACCCACCCACCCGCAACTTGGTTTGCAGAACTCACGCGGTGGCGATTGCGATGCGCGCCTGGCGTTGGTCGGTGCATCTCCACGGCCGCGCCGACCCGAGCGCGCGCGCAGCGGCCTGCTGGTTTGGCGCAACTGGCGCGGCCGCGGCGGAGCTGACCGCTGGGCGCATCCCAGCGGGCACTTCAGTGCGAGTCGGCGACTTGGGCGGCCGCGGTATCATGTCAACGTCGACAACGGCAGACGCGATGAGGATAGTAGCGATGGCGGTAACGACGTTGACTGCGACGACGGCACGGCCAGTGGCGGCGCCGGTGCTGATCGCGCCAACGACGATGACGGCGTCTTCG